TCGGATCCCATGTGGAGACCGGTTCCCGCTCACTGGCTGAGCGTGGTGTGGGCGCAACACCGAGGGTTGCGATCCCGTTGCCGGTCAGTAAAAAAGACAAAAAAGGAAAAAAAAATTATCTTAGGGGTAGTGAAATAAATTCTCAGTGATTACATTTTCTTATGCATAAGAAAAATACATCATCATTTAATGAGAAAGAAAACAGGAACAATTTGCAAGGTCAAGGTAATATAGTAAGCTATGGTCACTTTTTAAAATGAATTTCTTTTAGCTCAAATACAATCTTCTCACAATAAGCATTTCAATTTCAAATAAAAATGTTCCTGTAATATTCCAGAATGATAATGGTAGAGGTGGTTGCCTAGCTATAAATGCCTCTTATTTGAATGGCTACATATATTCACACACTTTTTCCTCTAATTTAAAAGATACCACAGACATAACTTTGATTTCCAGGCATTTAAGGACTATGTAATTGAAATAGAGAAAGTTCCAACCATGACAGTGTGTTCAGCATCACGAAAAGTTAGTAATGGAAGGAGGGTGGAGAGGGTTATTTAGACCTATGTTTCTTCTGCTGAAAACTTTCCCCCTTCATTGGATTCTGTTCTCGGAATCTGTGTTTTCCTCAAGGGACAAGAGAAACAAAACAAAACACAAAACAAAAAATGCAGCAGGTCACCGATCTGGACCTTGAACATTAGGGACTGGTGTTTACCTGCACGGCATTGTGCTTCTCTCATTAATATGTTGGAATAGTACAAAGAGTCACTGACATTTATTGAGTGCCTACTATTAAGCAGATAGTGCACTAGGTAGCTTACATATGACCATTTAACCCTTAATAAAACCTAAGGCCGTCATGCTGATGGGGAAAACGAGGCTTTGAGCTACTAAAGCAACTTGCACAAGACAGCATAATCATTAAGTGCAGAGATGGCATCCAAACCAAGTCTGTCAGACTCTTAAACGTAGCTGTTCAACACAACTGAGGGTCAGCTGTATCAGTACACAATTCCCCGTAGCTTGGAAGATAGGAAGTTACATGAGAAAGACGAATTTGTGAGTGCGTAAACAGAGCAGAAGGAGACTTTAATAACGTCTTTGACTCATTTATCAGCCATCAGCGAGCGTGCTTAAAGGTGAAGTTTTCTTCGTACCCCGCAGTAGTGGCTGTTTGCATTTGATACCTTAGCTGTTAAAGGTATGAGGTTCTTTTTCCTGTATAGTCTAGTGCCTTACCGGAGAGAATTTCGGAAAAATCAACATGTTTTATTTAATAGTAGTATTTTATTCCATATTGAAATATGGATCTGCTTAACAGTAGACGGACACTGCTGTTCTGGGTTAACAGGAGTCTACAAGAATTTATTCTCAGATCCGGTCAGCACCGAGGCTAAGGAACAGCTTCGCTCTCTCTAGTCTCCATGGAACAGCTGTCCCCTTCGTCCAGTGCTGAAGTTCAGGACGCGAGACTAACTGAGCATGCGTCCTTTCCCTGATTCTACTCCAGCCGGCGCTCCCTCCGACCCGTTGGCTCCGCCCTCCACGGACGTGCTGCGTCATGGCGCGCCTCACTCCCCGCGACCCCGGAAGTGTGTCGGGGGCTTGGCCTCTGCCCGGCTGCGAAGCCGGAGCAGGAGGTTCCCGCCGGAAAGGGGTCCTGCCGAGCAAGTCCTTCCGACAACGGACCACGGGCGAGGCCCGGGCCAAGGGGCCAGGATGCTGAACGTCCCTTCCCAATCTTTCCCGGCCCCCAGCTCGCAGCAGCGTATCGCCTCCGGGGGGCGTAGCAAGGTAAGCGGGAGACACCGTCATTCTCGCCCAGCGCTCGACTCCCGCCCGCTCTGTGTATTCTCTTCTTTCGTCTCCGCTCACCTCCTGTTCGCCTCTGTAGCATTCGTTCCCTCCTGCCCTTGCTGGCGACCTCTTCTTGATCCCATGCCGTCGCCAGTCTTCGGACTCTCCTAACCTCTCTCCCTGTCACCTATTAGCCTCTCTTCTTTCCAGTCCCTTTATCCCATTCTGTCAGTTCCCTTCCTCCAAGCCCTTTCCCGCTGTTTAAATTCAGATGTGTATGACGGCACTGTGTTTGTATGCTTGTACATACATAGGTACTCAGTGTTAGCTTTTTCTCCTCAACCTGTCCTCCTCTCCGGTTCTTTGCTCTTCCCTGCCCGAAGGAGTTGTCAGTGATTTGTGTTCTCTAGCGGAAGGGGAAAGCTGGGCGGTGGCGACAGTGACCATCCCTGCAAGAGTGGGGACTCCTGGAGCCAGGGAAAATTGGAGACGCGAGGGCAAATATGCACAAACCTCTGGTCAGGTTTACGTACACTTCTAAGTCATACTGCCTTTCGTTCTTGTTCTGGTACTGTTTCATCACTGCCTTTTTTACGGATATCACTTGGTGACTTTGAAACTAATAAAGAGTTTTTGGTGAGCATAGTTACTGTTAGCAACAGGTGGGCTACAAATGTATTTTGCATCTGCAAAATTTAATCAAAATTGTGTCCTATGTTCACTGCAACGTGAATATTGCTTGCTCTTTTTATTTGTTAGTTCCTCATTCTGTTACCACATCTTCATGTTTGGTTTCTGAGACTTCCACTTACTTGGGCCACTCCTTTTTCTTTTCATTTCTGGGCTCTTGAGTCTTAGCATCATTTTGGACCTTCACCAACTATTTTTTTCTTCCCTTAGACCTGGAGTTCTGATCCTAGATCAGAATATGGGTTCAGGGATCTGTAGCTTTCATCAGCTTTTCAGAGAGATGTAACCTCAACTATAATAATAATAACTGAGGTTTATTTAGTGCTTACTGATGGCCATGTATGTTCTTAGTGCTTTACATGTATTAACTTGTTTAATCTTCACAATGATTCTTTGAAGTGAGAGCTTTTATTATCTCTATTTCACAGAAAAAGAATCTAGTTAAGAAATGTTGTCTTAGACCCTATATGCTTGTTGTCATGTGATTCTGACTGACACCATACGTATCTACCATCCAGCCATACAATTATGTTTGACCTGTTTCTCTCCTTAAGCTAAATGCCTGAATGGATAGTATAGCCTTTCCAGAGGGAATCTCTGAATTAGAATGAGTTGCTGTCCTCCTCCATTAAAACTACTGCATTAGTCCGTTTCTGTTGCTTATAACAAAATACCTGGAACTGGGTGATTTATAAGAAAACAAAATGTATTGCTTACAGTTTCTGAGGCTAGGAAGTCCAAAGTCCAGAGAACACTTCTGGTGAACATCTTCTTCGGTGGTGGCTTTACAGCAATGTAGTGGTCTCACATGGCAGAAAATAGCAGAGCAGTGAGAGAGACTCTCATGTGCTCTCCTTTTAAAGTCCTCAGAACCACACCCATGCCCACCGTTATTAATCCATTCACTATGGCACGGCGTGGTCCTACAATCTAATCACCTCTTCAAGGCCCCACATTTCAGTAACCATAACAGGATTTCCAACCCTCTTAACACTGTCACAGTGGGTGTTAAGTTTTGGGGGGACACTCAATCTAAGGCAACTACCAACCATGTTTTTGGCATCCATTTAAAGGAGAAAACTTAAGAGGCAAAGACGAAAAGTCCACACAAGTGGTGATAGCAAAGGTGAATCTTTGGGTCCAAAAAGAGGACCAAATAAGAGTATTGTGTAATTCAAAGGAAAATTCAGACTCTGTTCTTTTCTTCTTCTTCTTGTCTTTCTGAAATGAGATAATCTTGAACGTGTTAGAAGCTGAGTCAAGATTGGATGAAGGGGGTAGAGCTTGAGAAAATAGAACCTACTTGGTGAGGTTGTATATCAAATTGTCAAAAGCATAGACTTGGAAAGGAGAAAGATCCAGATTCTTTCCCCATCTCCACTACTTAATCTCTTTGAGTCTGTCTCCTCAGGTATAAGTGGGAATAACAGTACCCATTTTATAGGATTCTTTGTAGGATTAAATGAGATGTTTCTCTTAGCATAGCCTGGTAAGCACTTAGTAAATGTCAATTTCCCTTAGGCTTTTATTCTGATTGCACAGATTTGAATCTGACACAGAGTATGCACTCAGTATGTGATAGCTATTATTATTTCCACTAAAATTAGTAAATAAATATTTGTTGAGAACCTACCGTATGCTAGAGATGTGGTCTCTGATTAGAGTTTAGTCTCATAGGCTGCACAGGGTAGTAGATAGGCAGTTATAGTACCATAAGTACCACATCAGTGTGTTGTGACCAAGAAGGAGTTGTGGTCAGAGAAGGCTTCTGGAGGAAATAATGGGGGGTGGGGGAGATTGATTTAGACAGAGGAAGCAGCACTTGTGAGCAAGTGCTATAGAAGTCAAGTTCCCGTTTGGCTAATGTATGTAATGGGAAGGAACAAAAGTTAAAACATGGAGCTAGTGAGGTAAACTATGACCAGATTATGAAGGACCAGGTAAATCACTCTAGGGAATTTAGAGATATTATTATAAGGCAATGTGGGGAGCCACTGAAGGAGGGAGGGCTTATGATCAGGTTGGCATTTCAAAAGACTAATTTAACTATCCTGTGTGTTATGGAATAGAGAGAGATCAGTGATTTGGATTCAGGTTGGGAAAGATCATTTTCTCACATTTTACTTCATTTGTTGGGACTAAGAGATCTAGAGAGTTTCAGTGATGGTAAGAATGAGACAATGTAGTTGGTAGGATGGAATGTGAAATTGAAAAGGCACCAAAGGCTTATTAACTTGGTTATTTACTTAACTTGGTTATTTGGGAGTAAGTGGATGTGATGGTAAGAATGAGACAATGTAGTTGGTAGGATGGAATGTGAAATTGAAGAGGCACCAAAGGCTTATTAACTTGGTTATTTACTTAACTTGGTTATTTGGGAGTAAGTGGATGCTTAAACTAGGAATGATGCAGTCAAGTGAGGTGTATACACTTCCTTGAATGTACCTGCTTTTATTTATTTATTTATTTATTTATTTATTTATTTATTT